TTTCAGTGTCCAATATTTCGTTTTTTGACTTGGTGACCAAAATTCCGCTGGTGACCAAAATTCCAAAAAAGTTGGTGACCAAAGTTCCGAAAATCCTTGGTGACCAAAATTCCGGTGACCAAAATTCCGTACACCTAACCCAAAACCCCGAGTAGCTTTTCACATTGGTAGAATAAATTATTTACTCGAGTCAAATAATACTCAGCTAAGGGTAAAATTGCTACACTGGTCGGGGGCAGTGTAACAGGATAAAACGCGTCTCGATTGCTCTTTTCCAAAATATATTAAGTTCTCAAAATTTTGAAAAAAACTTATGTCATAACCTTGACAAAACTTGATCAATCACTGTAATTTTGGTGTCATTCGACTCAACTCGACGAGCTCTTTCGAATGAGGTATCATTTGCCTAAACTTTTTTTTACTCCAAAAAATCACCCCTATGGTTTTTCAATATTCCGGGGTCTGTATCTCAGTCCAATCACGTCGGATTTCATCGATTTTGGTGTCATTCGATGCAACTCGATGAGTTCTACCTGCATATGAAAGACTGATCATTCTGTACAATGTCCGACAATGTCCGGGGTCAAATTCCGAATTCGTGTCCGGGATCCGACTTTTTCAAAATCTGAGTTCAGATTCGTAATCAGCATGTTTTTTTACCCTAGAAAACCCCTTTTTCTTATTTTTAAACTTTTTTTTCGCAGGGACCACAATTCTCCTGGATTGCTGAAATTTTTGCGAGAAAAACATCAACTTTCGTAAATAGATGATGAAAAGTAATAAAAATGTAAATTGATTTAAATTAAATTATTTTTTGAATTTTATAAATTTAAATGTGGTCTAGAAATATAATTATTTTTTATTCATTTTTGAGCAAAAACAAACACAATTTAAATACGTATTATTAGGTGCAAGAGACTAAATTATACTTTTTAGACCACAATTTTTTATTATTCAATTTTTTAAATACTCAACACAAATATTTTTAAGAATTGTTTTTAAACACAATTATTATTACATTTTACTATTTTTTTATAAAAGAAAATTTAAAAATTTGTTGAAAATTTGAATTTTTAAATTCAAGTAAGTGATGATTCTAAAAAAGAAAAAATAGTAAAAGAAATTTCAAATTTTTTAAAGTTTTGTAATTCCCCCTTATTATTCTCAATTAACGACATGTTTTTGAAAACAATATTTTTTGATAAGGAATTACCTGAATAAATTTTAGAAGTAAGGGAAATAAATAAAATTTTAAAGACAATACAAACAACTGAATGGAAAATCACTAAAAATTCTGCTTTAAAGAAATTTTGAAAAAAAATTTTGGGAGGGAGAGAAAAAAGGATAATAAAGTTTAAAAAATATATTTTAATTCTCTCGATGATTTAAAGAAAAACTTAATAAATGAGCAAGATTTTTAAATAATTTTAAATAAACTAATCAGGATTTGTTAAACTAGTATATCCTAAATTAAATTGATAATATTTTTTTAATTTAAAAATTAATTTAAAAAAAGTTATTCTAAAACAAAAATTAAAAACATACAAATTATTATTTTATGGAATTTTGTTAAAATTAGGGTTTGACCCCGACCCCGAACCCGTTCCCGAACGATTTTTTCACGATTCTCCCCGACCCGAACCCCGCCCCGAAAAAAAGTGAAAACCCCGTACCCCGACCCGAAAAGTTTCGGGGTTATCGGGGTTTTATATACCCAAAAAATGCCATTTTTGGGAGAATTTTAAGAGAAAAATTTTAACTTTGCTTTTACTTTATTTTGCTTTTACTTTTACCCAATTTACTTTGCCTTTATTATTTTTGAAAGAAAAATAAAGAAATATCAAATTCTTTTACTGCTATGTTAAGATACTTGTGGCTGAGTGGCTTAGTTGTTGGTTTTAGCCTATATTTCCATTAATATAGGATTGGGTTCGGATCCAAATAAGCTGGACTCGATTGTTTTGGGATTTTTTTTACAAAATCAAGAACTTAATTTTAATTTAAAATGTAAATCTTATTTTTAAATATTATCAACCATAAAAAACAATGTAAAGATTTTTTGTTTAGCTAAAATTTCTAAAATTTTCTTGGTCAGAGCTAAAATAAACGAAGACATCCGGCTTTTTGACATAAAAAATTTTAAAAATTTTCGCCTGCGGCTCTGGAAATGTAAGAAATTTGGCTTCTTGGCCTTCCAAGTTTCTCAAAATTTTGCCTGCGGCGCAGAAAAGAAAGAGTTACTCTGATATCCTCCAAATCCTTAATCACTCGATAACCCTTAAATCAATGACATCCCTTGAAACTACCCTTAGTCCCTACAAATCCTCTTATATCCCCAGATATCCGCTTTAATCCCTCCAAATACTCCTTAATCACCTCCAGATCCAATTAATCACTCCAATTTCTCTTATTTCCATGTAATCCTACCTTATTCTCATTAATTTATGAATATATTAACGAAAATAGACCCAAAATGGCTCATAGACCCAAAATGGCCAAAATGGCCTTAAATAGACCCAAAATGGCCTTAATTTGTATGAAATGGTCAACTTTCTCCTTCCTTAATTTCTCTCTATTTCCCTGTAGCATATTCAGATTATAGACATTAATAAAGGAAAAATAATTTTTCTCCAATATCATCAAACATTAGGATCAACATTTTCATTTTTGCCATTTTAGTAATCTTTTCTTTATTAATGTCTATCATTTGAATATGCCACAGGGAAAATGAATAGAATTGAGGAAAGAGAAAGTTGACCATTTCATAGAAATAAGGAAAAGATAGAATTATTTTTTTCCAGCGGACCCAAACCCTATAAGTACCTTTTCAATTTATAAGCGCAAACATGTTCCAACAACAAACAACAAATATATTCTTGTTCCCCTTAAATGAAGCTAATAACAGGTCATATGTGTCAAATTCATTCATTTTTAAACAAACATGTGTATAAATTGTTTTTCGATTTTTGAGACCTATATCTCGGTCCATAGTCCATCCCACTGGGTCTGGGACCGTTCCTTACCCTATCCTTCGAAATTTCTGAAAGTTACAGCCAATTTTTAAAAATTTCAGAAAACCGATTTTAACTTTCAGAAATTTCGAGGTATAGGGCAAGGAAAAGTCTCAGACCCAGTGGACGTAGATCCCGAACATGAAGAAATGCTTTGGAACCATACCCCTACTTTGCAACACCAAGAAATATCCAATTTTTTGTTGATGGGACGCATATACTTTCATGGGACGCATAAACTGGACAAGAGCCGAACTTTTTATGGACTAAGAGGAAAATATTGTCTTTGATTATTTATATTATTTTTGAGTATAAAAATTTACTATTATTTCCTTAATGGAAAGAATCAAAATTAAAACAAATGAATTTGTGTGCAATTAAAGGTAAGCATGAGGTTAGAATAAAGAGTAAAAAGAGGGTGTGGTCAAAAAAAGTAAGGAGACGCGTGCCAAAATGTTTAGATAATGAGTTAAGGAGTAATGGGCGGGCATTAAAGCAGTTTCGAAGCAATTGAATCTTTGAAAATCGAAATTGAAGGAAATCAAAAATACAGAAAATAATTAATTTTCGAAATCGAAATAAAACTAACATACAAAAGTAAATCGAAAATCGAAAAAATTTTTTTAATTAAAAATAATTTGCTGACTTTTGTTCAATTCATTGTCGAAATTTGTTATTTGAATACCCCAAAATTTTTGGATTAATTTTTAAATTAAAAAATAAAAAAATTTAAAATATTTCCAAAGTTCAGAGAAAATTAATGGTCATGGTTTGCTTAATTAATTAATGGTCATGGTTGTACATTAAAATCGAAAGTTTAATGAAAAAATCAAATATTTAGTATTTTATTCAATAAAGTTAGAAAAAATACAAATAAAGTACCGTATTATCTCTAATAGAATGCCCGGGCATTCTATTTTTCAATCACCTTCCAAAGGGGCATTCTATTAGAAGGGGGCATTCAAATGGAGGGGGGCATTGTATTTTTCGATGACTAAATTTAAAAATTAGAAAAAAATTTACTTGCTAAGTATATCGAAACAACTAAAATGTGAAAAGCGACCAGCATTTTTTACAACAAATTTCGGTCAAAATTCGAATCGAATACCTAATTTGGAAAGTATTTTCGAATATTTCGACAAAAATATCGAGTATTCGATCGAATTTCGAGTATAATTTAAGAATTTCAACAAATTCGTTGATTTAGAAGTATTAAGAGTGTAGGGATTAATGAGGAATCAATCATCATCGGATTAAGAATGATTATGGTGGATATTATGATTGAAGTGATATGGGGGGATAAGAGGTTATTTAGGAAAAATTGAGGGATTATTATGTGTATAAAAAGTATATAGGGTCAAGAGTGATCAGGATAAGTTTGAATTATATCCAATTAACTCGCCAAATTCCCTTTATCCCCTCTAAATCACGGTTATTCCGTTAACTACACTATCACTCCAAATCCCCATAATCCCTCTTTATACTTTTTCTTCTAATACTTATTGTTAGAATTCAAATCCGCCTTAATATCCAATATCCCTCCAGATCCCCTAATATCCCCAATATCTATTGTGTAAAATTTTTTGTGCAACTACCAAATCAATGCTGGATACCGGTAAATTTGCCAACTGTATTAACCGGATTTACGAGATTATACCGCGCCCCTTCCAGTCGGTATTTTGGAAAAATCTGTTCGATATCTCGGATTTGGGAATACATGTTATAATAATACTGAAATAACAAGAGAAATAAGTAAAAGAGAATAGAAATAGCGTTGGCTTGAATCTTTTTTTACATTTGGAAAGATTTATATAATTAAAAGGGGGGGGGCATTCTAATAGAGGGGGGCATTCAAATGGAGGGGGGCATTGTATTTTTCGATCTTCCGCTAGAGGGGCATTCTATTAGAGGGGGGCATTCAAATGGAGAGAGGCATTCTAATAGAGATAATACGGTAATTCAAAAAATAAAATTAATAAAAAACAATTCTCAATAAAATTCTTTAAGAACTGAATGCTTATAAATGTCATATCTAAATGGTTTAGTGTCTAAATCATTTCCAAAATTTGCTTCGATAGAACAACATTTTAGGCAAATATATGGTTTATATGAAGTAGCATTGCCCCTTACACATTTACCTAAATAATATTTTATGGATATTTTTTAAATTATTTTTTCTATAAAGTACCAATTTGTTTTCCATTTTGTGTGAAGAAAACATAAGGAAATTCGTTCATTTTATTAGTTGGTGGATAAACTAATCCACAACCAAAAATATCGTTATTATTCCATGAGATTTTGTCAATTTTAAATGATTCACATTTCTCATTAGAAATTGTAGGATCCTTTGCAAAATACCTAATCCAATTTCGATTACCACTACAAAGACTACAAAGACCAATAACCATCCATTTTGCATTTTTATTCAATTCTCCCTCAAATATACATTTTACTTCAAAATAACATAAAGAATAATTAAAGCAATTTTCTGGTTTGTTGAATGAAGTCCTTGTAAAAATAACAGCTTGCTTATCATCATCTTAAATTCGGTATTTTATAAAAATGCAATAACAAAATAATTTAGTACTTCCATTCCCCATAATATATTTAACATTTTCATCATTAATTATATCTTAGCAGTTTTGAAGCGAAAGAAAGAGAAAAGCATGTATCTCGGTCCAATATCATTTCTGAGTCTAAATTTTGGTACTATTCAACTCAGCTCGACGAGCTGAATCGAATGATATATAAATCGAAAGACATTGGAACCTTTTACCGGCTAAAGTAATACAAAAATAAAAAATCATACAACATCGTGAAATGTTACTACAAAATCGTGAAATTTTTCTATTTTCTTTTTTAAAAGAATCTTTACGGTATTATCTATGATATTGGTAGACAGATTTTTAAATATACTTATTACGATTTATCTAGATAAAGCTTCTCAAAGATGGCACATAAAAAATGACCGTATCCTTATAAAGATAGCACGCAAAATAAATAGAACGAAAAGAAAAAGAGAAAAATTCAGTCTGCACTGAAACGGGGCTTGGTTGCAGGTTATGTTGCTGTGTTGGAGGGTAGTAGTTTTGTAAGTCCACCAAGTCTAGTTGGAAAAGTCGGAGACATAGTCCCGATTTAATTAAAGAAGGGAGGTGTTAGGGTGGCGGGCTTAGTGATGAAGAAAAAAAAAGGCGAAGCCTTTTATACTAAGCCCGCCACCCTAACAGCTTTCCCCTCTGAAATTTTAATTTATCAATCGAAAAATTTACAAAAAGTTCTCTGAACAACTTTCTATAAATATTAATAGAAAATACAAAAGAAACGGGGTATATGAAGAAACGGGTATATTTGATAAAATTTAATATAGGTAGGTAAAATAAAAGAAAGAAACTTTCTTTACCTTACCTTCGTTAACCAAAAGAACAACACAAAAATTTGAAAATTATTTTAATAAATAAATTCAATTTTTAAATTTACTTATTTTATTACACAAAATTTTATTTATTTAAGTACCTCTCGAGAAATTAATTTTTATTTAAATTATAATCTATTATTGTCGACAATTCTAAAAATATTTTACATAATTCTTTTTTAAAATTAAGCCGATTAAAATAGTTTTAAATAAAATTTAAATAAATTCCTAAATTAACATTTTTGATAAAATTAAATTTAATCGGCTTAATTCTAAAGACACAATTATGTAAAAATTTTTTAAATTGTCGACAATAATAGATTATAATTTAAATAAAAATTAATTTCTCGAGATGTACTTAAATAAATAAAATTTTGAGTAATAAAATCAAATTAACTAATTGTAAGTAAATTTACAAAATGAATTTATTTACTAAAATAATTTTAAAATTTTCGTGTGTTGTTCTTTTGGTTAACGAAGGTAGGTAAAGTTGTCTATGTAATTAATATTAAAGACGATAAAATTTTACTTGAATTTATTCATCAAAATAATTTGTTATACTTTAAATTTAAAAATCTAAAATTAATTGAAAAGTCTTTAATTTTTCCAGATTCCCCATGGACCTCCCAAATATACCATTCATAGCCCTTCCAGTTCTGTCCATGCCATAAACTGAAATTATTTTATTTATATTAAATTATATCATATAGTATCTCCGTTTCTTCATATGCCCCGTTCCTTTTGTATTTTCTATTGATATTTATAATATGTTCAGAAAACTTTTTGTAGATTTTTGTATATTAAATTTTAAAAAACAAAAAAATACGCGAAAATTAAATACAAAAATATTTAGTTATTCCAACATGTCCAAATGGTGGAGGTTTTTCAGTCACACAGAGTGGTAACTGCGTTCTAGTACAAGGTTTTTGCTATATAGATTCGGATGGCAAATTTGTGTCATCCGTCGACACTACAATTTGCCCAAGTCAACCCTTTGTTGTGGCTAGTGGTTACCTAGTAACTGGTGGTGTTTGTCTAAATGGCACTGTAACAGTTTCCTTTACAACTTCGACGCTAAAAATTGCTTGCTTTACGGCTAGTGGTGCTTATTCTTTTGTAGGTGGACAGTGTACAAATACCCTTGCTCCAATTAATCAATGCTTACCTATTATTAATTAGATTTAGGAAATGAACAGTAAATTAATTAAAACAATTTTATATTTTCATTAAAATTTGCGACTTATAATTTAAAATAATAAAGTTATTATTTTAGGAAAAAATATTTTATTATAATTTTAGTAAGCGTTATAAAATATAGTTGTCGAATCCATCGCAGTAAATAAAAGATAATTTACTGATAACAACAGGAATTGTTTCTAAATAGGGTTGTCTGTATAAAACCGAACCGAAGATTTTCGTTTAGTTTCGGCTAACCGAAGATTTAGACACCCTGCGTTAGAGTTGGAAAGTTCAAAACCTCAATCCTATGTATTTTTTTATTATTTTTGATGTTTCATTAAATTTCGAAAATATTCCAGAATACAAATCAATTGTATAGAACAAAATAATTTAATCGAAAATTTAAAATTAAAAAAAACATTTTGTTGCTCAATTATAAAGGTTCCGCTTTCATAATTTTGACATGAATGCGATGAGTTTGACCGGACATCCATTCTTCATTGCAAAAAGAAAATCTCATTTTTGGATTGTAAGTATTGACAATTTGGTATTTTATAGATTTTCCGAAAGCAAATTGTTCACTTTCAACATTTTCAGCTTTCTCGTTCAATTCAAAATTTGATAATAAAATGTAATTTAAAATAATAACAGGGACCATTTTTGAAAAGTCTTTGGATGTTGTTATATGCTAAAATTTAAATTTAATCTTTTGACTTGATTTTTATAAAATAGGTACTTGTATAATAAGTTCATATAGCCTTGCCAAATCAACACTATTGAGACAAACTTTTGGTAATCTTTGACGTCCATTTGTTAAAATTTTAAATAAAATATTTATATTTTTTTCTTTAATATCAGCCTGTTTAAAATTGATTGTAAGAGATTCGGAAATTGTTAGGTGATTCAAAACAAATTTGGAAATATCATCACATATATTATTCTGTACTAATAGATAGAATTTCTGTATATGAAATTGCAGAGGAATTGTATAGTCGTTATCAAATAACAATTCAATAATTTTTGGATTAAATACAATTTTATTAAAATAGGCATATTCAAAAGCACAATTAAAAAGTCGTTCCAACCAGTATCGAAGAATAATCATTTCCTCTATATTTTTTGGAAAGTTTGGCAAATCCAAAAAGCAATGACGAAATTTTTTGTCGTGAAAAAATAAACCAATAAAATTTTTGCATGATACAAAATACTTTGAAAACAAAGAAATTGATTCAGCTATCGCTGTTTTCCACTGAAAATATAGGTTTGATAGAGTTAAAATAAATTAAAACTTTATCAAGAACTCGATCATTCAACTTAAACTCAGAAAATTTTGGCTCAGGTATGGTGAATTTATATGAATAAAATGACTGATCATCGATCTGAAATAGATTAAAGGAACAAATAAAAGCATTAATAAATATGTATTTACTATTTTGAGTTCATCGAATTTAATTCGTGCCAATTCATTTTCATATTTATTAATTAAATTAAGAAAGTGAAGATTTGTTTGTTTAAAAGAAAATAATTGGTTGAAATTAAGACATTTTAAAATATCTAGTTGAACTTCAGTTTGTAGAGAATACATTTTAATTATCTAAAATATATCCAAATTATTATATTTTAGATAAATTAAATATAAATGTAGGGTAAATAATAAGGAATTAGGAAAAAAGTGCTGGTCACAAATGAGGTAACGCTTAAAGTGACAAGCCTTCCCTTAAGGTCGCATTCAATATCTCGATTTTTATAAAAGTTCAGTTTCAGAGCTTAAAATTCGTCCACTATAATGATATACCTTAAATTAGAGGTAATATGAACTGGATTGAATGTGCATAATTTTTAGCGAAGTAAGTCTCGCTTCGTTCTCCAACTTATTTTTGTGCCCCCCTAGTTTGGAACAAATAAGATGATGGTAAATTTCCTCATAACAATATTTTCTCCTCACATGTTCGATAAAAATGATGCCAAGCTATTCACCTCAATGAGCAATAAACAGAGTTAAATAACCCTATGAGCTAGAACAATAATGTAACTTGACAATGCAACGTATAAAATATTCTTAGCTTTTAATTTTCCTAAAGCTACACTGAAGGTTGAAGTTTAAACTTTGTATCTAATTAAAACTAGAGTAAGTTGAGTACCGAGTAATTGGGTAATGCCGAGTTTGAAAACTTCGAGTTCGAGTACGAGTTCAAATTTTTAGGCAGAGTTCGAGTACCCCTTTCTGAAATTATTCCGTTTTGTCTTATCGGGTTTTTAACCGAAAATTTGTGTACTTTTTTGCTTCTTGGTATTAAAAATTGGAATATGAGAAAGAGGGGTTAGGCCCCGCGAAGCGGTTTAAACTTTGTATCTAATTAAAACTAGAGTACCGGTTAGGCCCCGCGAAGCGGGCCCTAACCGCTCGCTTCAATTACATATTTTAAAGAAATAAATTGTTTTATTTGCCAAATTTTTTAAGAATAATTTTTTATGAGTCATACATATGTATTTAGTTAGCAAATTATTATTTGAAATGACTAGCCAACTCAGTTTCCTTATTTATTTTATATCTATAAAAATTTAACTTTTTAAAGAAAATTTAAAAATAGTTTTTTATTCTTTCAATTCACTCATTTTAAAAAATTTCCTTCAACAAAAATCTTATAAATGTCACAGCAACAATGCATTACAGAACAACCTCAATTAACCGGATATGCCAAACAATTAGACGATAAACAAAACGAGAAAAGATGGACTCATGGTTATAATTATTGTCCTGTAGATTTTTGTTTTTGTCCAGATTGTAGTTGTTCTGACTGTGGTTAGAATTTTTTAGATTAACAAATATGGCGCGCCCCCAAAACGGCCCACCCCCAAAACGGCCCACTGAACAAAAACCCCCAAAACGGCCCACCCTCAAAACGGCCCATTGCGCAAAAACCCTCAATCTTTTAAAAAAACTTCAAAACCTTATCGAATGATACCGAAACCAGCTTGATTCGTAAGTATACACAAAATTATGATCAATAGAAGCTGTTTTTGTGCTGCTACGGAGGGTAGGCCGGGCATGGTCTTCGCTACACGATGGCCGTTTTTTCATTAGTTTGACACATTAGTATTGATAAAAATTATCAACTATTACCCTAAATTTTTTGTTAAACCAGTTAGGTCCGATTATAAAAATATCAATAATATCAAACAAAAGAATTAATCCAAAAATGATATTTTATTTTGCAGTGATGAAGGGGAATATATGGATCAACATTATCTAATCCCGAAAAATAGAGAATGGATTTGGTAATTTGTACTTTTTTGAAAGAATCTACTTTTAAATCAACATTTTGGATTGAAAATGAAATTGGGGAAGACATTGGGCAAAAAAGTGAATTTTTTTGGCCTACGGCCTTTGAAATTCTCAAAATTTTCGCCTGCGGCGCTGAAAAAGGAAGAAATCTAGCTTCTTGGGGAGGACGAATAAATATTTTTTGATTTAATTTTATTTATACTTTTTATTTGGAAATTTAGTCCTACTACTTTTTAATCAAGATTTTGATACTTTTGATTGGCATTTTGTAGATCGGAGCTCTGGATTAAATCCTTTTTTTAATTTAGAAAATTTACTTTTCACTATTTTTAATTAGTTAAATCACCCCAGTTTGTTTTTGAACATCTTTAGGCAATTTTAACAAAAAATTTCTATTAAGAATAATCTAATTTGCGAATTATATTTATTGAAAAGTTGATAAGAGTATTTATCTTTATCCGTTTTCTAGTCCTCCATTGTAATGGAATTGAACATCATTGCATTATTTTTTATATGGATGAGGAGAAAATATTTTAAAGGGGAAAATTACCTTAATTTTATGGAACACAAACAATGGATCGACACCAAAACATAAATGACAACAACTTTCCTAAAAATAATTTGTGAAAAGCATAGCAAATCTTTTTTAGAGAGGTTCGGCAATGTTTAAACTTTTTTAGAAAAAATGAAAAATCTTCAAAATAAATTAATAAACCTAAAATTCGTGCAATTAAAGCTATTTAAAACAAAGTTCATTAAGCGCATCTCCATATTTTTCCGTAGTGCCTTCCACATGGTAAAAAATTATAATCTGTAATTAATAGTTCAGTCTGGGTTGTAGGTTTCAACAAATTCCAAGTTTAACCAAAACTGAAAATCTTCAGGGTTTCGGTTCGGTTTGAAACCGACAACCCCAATCCTCAACATAAACTTAAAATTTTAGTAAATTTTAATAACCTTTCATTTTTGTAGGCATTAATCAAGATTTTTAGATATAAAGATCATTAGGAGGTGTTGAAGCTATTGAATGTGATGAAGAATTAAATATATTGAATTTAATTTATAACGTCAAATTCCAAAATTTTTAATTTTAATTTGCAAAAGTATGGAGCTATATTTAATCCAGAAATGATTGAATTATTATTTGAATGTCATAAAATAATAATTCAATCATTTCTGTCTTAAATATAGCTTTGTTAAAGTAATAGGCTGGATTATTATAGCAAGTAACCGGATTAAAAATAAATACCAATTGATTTAAAGTTGCCAAAAGTTTTTTCATTATAAACTGCCAGATATTTTGTGATCAATATCTTTAAAATATTTAAAATAAATGTGAAAACAAAGTAGTCGAGTTGCTTCAGATAAAAAAAGAAATAAAAATTTGTTTGATAATCAACAATTTAAAGTTAAAATTAAATTTTCAATTAATTCTTTTAATTTCAATCTCGGAAATCGGCTGATTTTTAATAACATAAATCTCTTCAATATAAACAGAAAATTTCATTTCTGGGTTGTATTTATTGGAAAGTTGATATTTTGTAGATTTTATAGTGAAATTTTCAACGTTGATATCAATATTTTCTGCTCTGTCACTTATCATAAGACGTCCATAAACATCACCTAATAGTATTTCCCTAACCATTCTGGAAAAGTCTTTTGATGTTTCTATATGCTAAAATTAAATAGTTTGTTTTTTAATTAAGACTAGAAATTTTTGGTTCGTAACCGAAATGGATAAGCGATGATTTTTAGGTTGGGTTCTGAATAATTTCAAAGGTCCTCAAAGCTGCTTGACCCTGAAGACTACAACCTTTTAATAACCAAAATTTTTGTTTCTTCACAAGTTTAATCAGGGTATCTAAAAAGGGAATACGGCTGATGAAGGGTTTTGCGGGTTTTGGGGATATCAGTGGATTTGTAGCATTAAAGGGGGAAAGGTCCTTTGCAAAAGGTCCTTTAGAAAAAGTCCTTTGCAAAAATTTTTTTACGGATGTGGACACAAATTATACTAATATAGGAAATTTACATCAGAATGAGGAGAAAATCTTTTATCAAAACTGAAAACATATTTTGGGAAGTTTATTGCTAGCTAAATTTACCGGAAATTTGCCAAGAAAACTTTAGACTATCTCCTAGAACGCTGATTATAGCCTCGAATAAATTAACCTTGTTTGAATTAAAACACTGTTCCAATACAAAAATAACGAGATTTACGTCCTTAACACCGCAGCCCAAAAACATGTGAATTGATTTTTTTATTCCACTTATCCACTAAAATTAATTTATTTTAAAATATTATTAATAGGGTGTTTCAAAATATGCACGAAAAATTCAAAAATATGCTCATATATATGCACCGAAAAAGCCCAAAATATGCATCAAAATATGCCAAATTTGCCGAAATATGCACTAAATATGCAGCAAAAATAATGAAAATGTGTTTTAAAAATCAATATTTTAAGTAAAAAATATAAATTTAGCATTTGAGTTGCAGTTTATGGGGTACACCCCGTTATACCGCGAGCTCAGTATACCGCCGAGCTGGTGTACGGAATTTTCGTCTTTGGAAATTTCGTCTCCAAGACTTTTCGGAATTTTCGTCTCCAACATTTTCGGAATTTTCGTCTCCAGCGGAATATTCGTCACCATGACAAAAAACTGAATTTTCGTCTCCGCAATCCTCGTCTCCTCTAGGAAATTTCGTCTCCAGATGAAAACTTACCCGTTGACGGAACAACTTCCCCGTTGACGGAACTACTTTCCCCGTTGACGGAACACTATCCCTCGTTGTCGGAACAACTTCCCCCGTTGAGTTTGTTCCGTTAACGGTCAACGGTGGATAGTGTTCCGTCAACGGGGGATGTAGTTCCGTCAACGGGGGAAGTTGTTCCGTTAACGGGGGAAGTTGTTCCGTCAACGGGGGTAGTGTTCCGCCAACGGGGGAAGTAGTTCCGTCAACGGGGGAAGTAGTTCCGTCAACGGGGGAAGTAGTTCCGTCAACGGGGGAAGTTGTTACGTCAACTGGGGAAGTAGTTCCGTCAACGGGGAAGTTGTTACGTCAACTGGGGAAGTTGTTCCGTTAACGGGGGAAGTAGTTCCGTCAACGGGGGAAGTAGTTCCGTCATCGGGGGAAGTAGTTCCGTCATTGGGGAGGTTGTTCCGTTAACGGGGGAAGTAGTTCCGTCATCGGGGGAAGTAGTTCCGTCATTGGGGGAGGTTGTTCCGTTAACGGGGGAAGTTGTTCCGTCAACGGGGGTAGTGTTCCGTCAACGGGGGTAGTGTCCATCTGGAGACGAAATTTCCTAGCGGAGACGAGAATTGCGGAGACGAAAATTCCGTTTTTTGTCATGGTGACGAATATTCCGCTGGAGACGAAAATTCCGAAAATGTTGGAGACGAAAATTCCGGCACCCGCCGAGCTATAACTTCGTTCGAAATAGTCGAATCCGGGTGGCCCTGGTATGGGTCGATGCGCCTCAACGAGCTGAATCGAAACATACCAGGGCGTCCTGGATTCGACAATTTTGAACGAAGTTATAGCTCGGCGGTATTCTGGGCTCGCGGTATACTGGCCTGCTCCCCAGTTTATGAGCAATTTTAAAAAATTTTATTAACTTTAAATTCAACCAAAAAAAATTTTTTTGAAAAAAAATTTTCCCGAAAAATTTTTTTAAAAATTTTTTCAACAAATTTTTATTAAAAAATTTTTTGCCCAAAAAATTCCAAAATTTTGAAAATTTTGCCCGATTTTTACTAGAATTTCTCAAAAAATGCCAAAATATGCACAAATTTAGGTAAAAATATGCAAAATTTCCCAAAATATGCCTCGATATGCAAATATGCACGAAAGTGCCGAAATATGCAAAAATATCTATAGGAACCCGGTCCCTAATGTTCGTACCGACGTAAAAACACCATTTTTGAGCGTTTCAGCTCATAGCATATCCGCATACAAAATATGCATATGCATGTTTTGAAACACCCTAATTATTAATTAAACCTTCTTTTCAAGTTGTTCACTTAATTGAAAGTCATTAAGTTTAGGGACTGGTTTAACAAATTTAGGAGTATTTAAACTGTTTTCCTTGATCGAAAGCTTCAGAAAATTTTAAAAAAATTTTAAAAACTGAATTTACAATTTCGACTTTAATTAATTCCATCAATGCCAATTCATCCTCATATTTATTTATCAAATTTTTGAAGTAACGATTTATTTTCTGAATATTTAATAATTGATCGAAATCAAGACATTTATGTAAATATATCTAGCTGATTTTCTTGTAAAAGAAGATTCATTTTTATCTATATTTCTGAAAAAACACAAAATTTTAAACGAGACTGGATTCTGCTCAAGATCTTATTATTATAAGATTAATTTTCTTAAGGTAGTTATTCCAAAACATTTCAAAGTTTCTCTTGAACGTGGAATTCACAGATGCGATTTTACATTATCCAGACTATAAAAACATATTACCCAAATGAGTCTATTAATAAAAAGCTTCTTAAAATATTAAAAAAACGTCATTAAAAACAAGCTGATATAAAATGTCATAAATTGGAATATTTTCTAGCTTTTTGGTCTTTTGTGGGTTGGCTTTTTAATAATTTGGGTCTTTTATGAGTGTGCCCACTGGTCAGCTTTTGTTTCTTTTACATTCGAGGGCGGTCAATAACATACGTATACTCCGTTTATATATTGATTGCAACTTAACTAACGCTTATAATTTTAACCACCCTTTAATAATGAGTATATTTAACAACTCAAAATTTTTTTTATTTATTTTTAAAATTTTTTAGAATTTTATTTTCCTTTTATTTTGTCAGACTATTATATTAAAGATGAATTTTCTTCCAGCAGAAGTTCAACTTGATATATTTAAATATCTTGATTCAGATCAATTACTATCTTTTCAACAAACAAATCTTTACTTCAAAAGCTTTATTAACAAATATAAGGAAGAATTGGCACGGAAGAAATTTTGTTTTATTGAAATTGTAATCTCTTTTAGATTGACTTTATTTTTAATATATTTTTAGCGTTATATTAATGAGAACTATTTAAATGATTATATCTTCTTTAGACCAGAACCCAAACTTTATGACTTTCAATTGAGTAAAAAACTTGAGAGAAAGGTTGAAAATGAATATTTTTTATTTAAAAATAAATTTTAGTGGAAATATGCAATAGAAGAATCAATTCCAACATTTTTAAGTACTACTGAAGCACAATTAACAATAGCTGCCCTTGTTGTGGAACCAAAATATAGTAATAAATTTGACAAAATAATAAGATAATTTTAAGAGAGCCCCTTTATTCTTAATAGATTTTGAGAAATTTGGACTTTATTTTTCTCAGTCTCATTTTTCCTCATTTTCTCTATGGATTTTTTCTCTTCCAATTTTATTTAAAAAAGTCATAAATCTTAAAAGGAAAAATATGGCATATGTAGTGAATGTGGAGAAAATGGGGAAAAGTTTAAAAATGGAGAAAATACTCTATAAATAGGGTAGAAGAGCAACATGATGTCAGGATAGCTTTGTGGATAAATTATGAGAATATCCCTACTCTAAAATGAAAATTATTCTTTTAATCATTAAAATTTTATTTAGAATTCTATTTACAATTTCCAAAATTTCCAAAAAATATTGAAGAAATGAAAATTGTTCGTTATTTACTTGAAAAACTATTTAAGTGCACAATTGAATCTGCTCATTTTAATTTCATTATATTCAATCCAAAAATGATTCAATTATTATTTGAAGAGAATAAAACAAATATACCTTTACAAATTCATTCTCGGAGGACATTTCTATTTAATAACAATAAGCAAACCAAATATTTATTAAAATTTGTATTGAATCATCTAATATCTAATGAATTTAACGTTTGGCCTTCGAATCGACAAAATTTAGATGTTGCATTTAAAATTTTAACAACTGGGGGAGATAAATTTCCCAAAGTTTGTTGTGAAGATACTATCTACAAATCATCCGTTTACAATTTTATTATACGAGTAAGGGTTTATAATTTTTTGAAAAATACTAGACAAAAAATTGAAGTTTAGTAAAAAATGTTCGCGAATAATCGTGTATCAATATTTGTTAGTAGATTTTTAAAATTATTTAAAAAAATTATTTTCAGCATATAGAAACTTCAAAAGATTGTTCTAAAATAGTAAAAGAAATTAGTTTGCGTATTCGTCGACCTCTTATATTGAGTGAAAGAGCAGAAAATATTGAAATCAAAATTGAAAAAAACAACCGTGTAAAATCTACAAAATATCAACTTTCAAATAAATACAATCCGGAAATAATGTTTTCTGTTTATATTAGAGAAACCTTTTTGTATAACGATGTTGAAATTAAAAGAATTATTTGACTATGTATGTATATTTTAATAAAAGCATGGCTTTATATACTTTTTGATAAAAAAAAGTATTCTGATATAGGATCAGAATCCGGAGATACCACTTAATCGCCAACCCTAACCCTGATATAATCCACGTTTTTAAATATAAGTTAAAATATGCTGCCAGAAGAAAAAAGTTTTTTAGGTCAAGATTTGGCGCCTTTAATTTATTTAATTTCTTAAAATTTATGCAGGACTTCCCTATTTGCATATAATGCATATTTTTGCATATTTCAAACTTTGCTGCATAATGCATATTTTACTGCATATTTTGAGGTTTTTGGGAAAAATATCGCGAAAATGGCCTAAAATCCTGACAATAAGTGAAAATTTAGTAAAAATTTTGGAAAAAATTTGTAAAAATTAAGAATTTTGTAAAAAAAATTTTTTTTTGTTTATTGGACGCGACCCAAAAATGTCCCACCCAAAAAGTCACACCGCCAAAACGCCTCATCGCAAAATGTCCAACAGAGTAAAAATACTCAATTTGTTGAACAATACATGTAAACTGGGAGTATCTTAAAAAATAGGTATTTATTGTTTTTGGCTAAAAATGTAAAATTATTAGGTATAAATTGTATTTTACTTGCATATTTGCGTGGATATTTTGGGTTTCTTGCATATTTTCGTGCATATTTCGGCAATTTTTTATGCATATTATAGTGCATATTTTGCATTTTTTAATGCATAAAATTCACAGCTCTACTAATAAACATCTTCATTTCCCAATTTATTTTTAGAATTTTAGAACTTTCTTCATTATCTTCAAATTTCTTTCTTTTTTCATTAAATATTCCAAAATTATAACTTCCAAAATTAAATAAAGGTTTTAAATCCAAACCAGGCTTGCCGCCCGAA